GAACAGCGGGGGCTGCGGGGGGAGCAGCAGCCTCTTGAGCTGGTGGCCGTTCTCCAAGGAGTCGTCCAGGCCGTTCTTGCCATCCGGGCTCTGATCCCAGCCCTCCTGGTAATCAAAAATGCCGCTGCTGTCTCTTCGCAACCTGAAAGAGCAGCAAGCAGGAATTAGCAGCCTGCGTGAGCATCCAGAAGGGCACCAAGGGTTGGGCTGGCTCGTTTTGCACGGCGGGCTTTGCCGTGCTGGAGAGCAGCAGTTACGTGGGCAGAGGAAGCCCTTACCTTGGTTTGGGAATCACGGTGAGGCAGTCTCCGGTCTGAGCATCCCACACGCGGATCTGGCCCACGAGGCAGCAGCTGACGAGCAGCATCCCGTCACTAGCGAGACATTCAATGTCCTGGCAGGGAGCAACAAGCAGAGCTGAGCCTGCAGCTCCGGGATTTACGTGCTCTAGGTGACCCTGGCTGTGCAGGGAGGGTTGGACGAGCTGACCTCTAAAGGTCCCTTCCAACCTTCATGATTCTATGATTCCTACAGCCACCTTGCTCCAAGGCTAACTAACTGGATGACAAATTCTAAGCCCAAACTACACGGCTGATTTAGCAACTCATACAGACCTAGACAGAGACCAGGACAGTTTGTGTGGTGCACAGGGATGCTTCTAACAGTGGAAACAATATTCAATAGCTCAAACCTATCCCCTAGCTTTTGGGAAGCATCAAAAAAGGACAATTTACTGGGCATGAAAAATGCAGCCTAGGGCCACCCCAAGGAAGGGCAGATCAGCCCAGGTGGGAAAGGGCAACCGTTGGCTATGCAGAGACAGGGATAACAGCAAAACACTGGGAGCAAGTCACAGGATGAAACGGAGAAGCCCTCCAGGCACCCCGTGCAGCAGTGCCCACGCTGTAGCTGCACAGCATCCGCCTGTTGGCAGCCCTCCAAGGCTGCGTTACACTCGGACCACCTACCTGGCCGGCTGTTAAACAAGACATGAGATAAATGGTGCAAGAGAGGGCAACACCCGCGCCTGCCCAACCTACCATGAGGTGGCCCCTGAGCACCAAGGGGACGATCTCGGTCTCGGGCGGGGAGTAGCCGTAGTCGTCACAGGGCAGGTCCCCCCTCTTCCTGCGGCTGTGCCCGTTCTGCCCGTAGTTCTTGGGGCAGAACACCCGGTACAGGCAGAACAGCAGCAGCACCAGGATGATGCCCGCGGCCAGGCCCAGCGCCGCCACCCTGGTGGGAGAGACAGGGAGATTCGTTACCTCAATTTGTCAACTGAGAAAAATTTCCAACAAACTATTTCTGGAAGTATTTCTGGAAAAAAAAAAGTATTTCTGGAAAATTAAATGTTTTGTTTTGTTTTGTTTTTTTAATAGGAAGGTATCCATTTCAACAAGATATTTAGCCTTTCTAAGAAGAAAAGCACACAGCAATTAAGATAGAAAAAAAAAAAAAAACTAGACAGGGATCAATGTGGAGTGTGTTCAGCAGAGCCAATGAAGACCACAGATGCAGAGGGCAAGCTGGGAGCCTGCCCTCTCATTAGGATGGAAAGTTCCTGGTCTGAATAAGAGCTTTGTCAAATGCTCAACGAATTGTTCTGCAACCATGTTCTGCAACCATGACATTTATTCATTTATTCCCAAAGAGGAAGTCCTGTCCCTATTACCCCATGTTAAGCCCCTTAACACATGGTTGCTGGAATAACACACGGTTTTAACATCCCCAAGCCATCCAGGTAAGAAGCAGTTCTGAACTAGCAATCAAAGCTTCGTCTTCAAAACACACAGTTAATGGCGCAAGGGTTACTAAATGGTAACCACCACTTGCAAATCTGTTGCGTTTGTGTGTCCTTTGTCACCAACACATATTGGCAAACAACTGCCCCTTGGAGCAGCAATAAGCAACATGCACTGGGGATCTGGGCTAGTTCCCAGGGAACTCGGCTGCCGAGAGCCACGTGGCCGTGAACGGTTAATTCGGTGCCACGCGAGCGGAGCTGGAGCGTCCTGAGCTTCACAGGACTCTGTCCAAAGCTTCACAAACATTTTCCATTCCCCCTCTTCCCCGTGGGGACAAAAGCCACCCAAGGAGCAGCCCCGCTTTGTGGGGGACCTGGGGTGCCCGGAATGCCGTGCCAAGGGCTCTCACTTGTAGAGGGTGACGTCCCGGTGCCCTTGGCCCTTGGGTGCCGCTTGCTCGGGCTGAGCGGCAGCGTCCGGCTTCCCGGCGCCCGCGGCCAGGAACGGGTGGTAGCGCCTGGTCTCCTGGGGGTGCCGCACTTCCAAGGCCTCCTGCGGGTTCAGGTAGAGCGTGACGGGGATCGCCGGGAGGATGCTGATGTACCTGCAGGAACGCAAAGGCGGGAACAGCTTAGGGAAATATGGGAAAATCGGAACAGCTCACGCAGCTCACGCAAACAAGGCAGGGCTCTATCTATTTTCAGGACAGTATTTTTAGGTATTCTAAACCAAACTTAAGGGAAAACTTCTTAACAGTGAGGGTGCCAGAGCACTGGAACAGGTTGCCCAGAGAGGTTGTGGAGTCTCCTTCTCTGGAGATCTTCAAACCCACCTGGACACAGTCCTGAGCCCCGTGCTCTGCGTGACCCTGTGTGTGCAGGGGTTGGACTAGATGATCTCTGAAGGTCCCTTCAACCTTAATGATTCTATGATTATCCCTGTCACTTATGAATAACCATAGGCTGTTTCACACACTTTCAAATGTGTTGTCTCCAAAAGAGTAATCTCCAAGACGAAGGAAGGCAACAAGCACCAAACACGAGTCGGAGAGGAGCAGGAACCCCTGCCCTCAGCACACTGCCCTGTGCAACCTGGCATCTCGGCAGCGTAGCAGAAGGGTCTGATTTAACAGTTTCCTCCTGAAGTCCATTTTGCTACAGAGAAATGTGGAATGCAAATTGTCTATCATCTCAGAAGGACGAAAGCCTGAGGACAGGGGGAACCCTTGGAGTCACCTCACGGGGCGCTGGACCCCAGCCCACTTGCCTCTTGGCCAGGGTGATATTGTAGTAGCTGAAGAGGGACGGCCAGTGTCGAAAGGAGAGCTTCCTCCAGATCTCCTCATCCTCTGCTCCCCAGGTCACCTCCGCTTCCGTGCCAAGCTCCGGCCCATTCCCTCTGCCCTCCGCTCCTTGGGCCCACGTGTGCTGGCTGGTGTCCAGCCCCGGCTTCTGCTCACGCTGCTGGCTCTGGTTCTCCGAGAGCTGCACGGGGTCCGACGGGAAGACCGAGAGATCGATCTTGGGGTCCCCGGCGGGCAGGACGCCCCCGGGAACGGGCATCGGAGGCAGACCGGCTTCGCCCAGCGGGCTCTGCTCAGTGACCTGTGATGTGAGGTAGGTGCGGAGCCCGGCAGGATCCGTGTAGACCAGGATCCCAATCCAGATCACGGTCCCGGCCTACACAGAGAGAATAAGACAATAAGTCTGTTTGGGACATGGTCTTCACGCTTCTCTCCTCCAACCCCTGGGTGAGCTGCTGTTTGCAGAAGCCGAGGAGCAGGGACGTTCCCGCTTCCATTACAGAGCAGCAACATCCACAAGAGGGATGGAGAGGGCAAGCTGGGACAGTAACTGCTTTAAACGCTGCAGTTACGCCTGCAAATGGGCAACCCTTCCAGCTTTCTATGTAGTGAAACACCTCCACATCTTTATTCCAGGAACAGAATATTTAATTCCAGCCCGGGAAGATCTTTTGTCTCCAATGGCACAGTCCTAAAAACCTGCTTGTATAAAAATATCTCAAAGGGGGTTCCCACTCCCACCCGAACGCCTGGCAAACAGCAGAGTTCTGCAGCTAACCCACGCAGAGGGCAAGTACTTGAACCCCGTTTGCCAGAGGGCAGAGTTAAGTCTTGCAGGGGAACAAGGACACATGAAAACTTGGGGCACTTCTTTCCTCTGCACACACACTGGGTCCGGATAGCATCCAAGAGGAAGGGGCAGAGGATACCCCGTCCCCAAGCAGGGCCATAAGGATGATCAGGGGCCTGGAACATCTGCCCTATGAGGAGAGGCTGAGGGAGCTGGGCCTGTTCAGCTGGAGAAGAGAAGGCTGAGAGGGGACCTGAGCAGTGTCTAGAAGGACCTCAAGGGAGGCAGTGAGGAGGATGGGGCGGCCTCTTCTCACTGGTGAACACCGACAGAACTAGAGGAAACGGCCACAAACTGAAACACCAAAAGTTCCACAGGAACTTAAGGAAAAATTTATTGACAGTGAGGGTGCCAGAGCACTGGAACAGGCTGCCCAGAGAGGTTGTGGAGTCTCCTTCTCTGGAGATCTTCAATCCCGCTTGGACGCAGTCCTGTGCCACGTGCTCTAGGTGACCCTGCATGTGCAGGGTTTGGACTAGATGATCTCTAGAGCTCCCTTCCAACCTCAAGCATTCTGTGATTCTATGATTCGAAGCAACGTACCATGATGAGCCGCTGGGCCAGGCGGGTCCTGGCGAAGAAGTAGATGACGCGGAGGCGCTTGGGCAGGCGCAGGTTGCGGAAGGACGAGGGCTGCAGGGTGCGAGGACGAGGATGAGGACAAGGATGAGGGCTCCACACGCATCTGCTGCAAGGTCCCAGGCCCGTCTGGCAGTTATTCTCCTCTTGGCCCACGCCTGTCTGTGACTGTGACTCTTCCCATACACTCATGGGACCCTGCACCGCGTGCTCTGGGTGTCCCTGCTTTTGGCCAGTGCCAGGACGAGGGGGAACGGCACAGGCTGAACCCCAGGCAGCTCCATGTCCGTGTGAGGAAGAACTTCCTTGGTGTGAGGGTGCCCGAGCCCTGGCACAGGCTGCCCAGAGAGGCTGTGGAGGCTCCTGCTCTGGAGATCTCCAACCCGCCTGGATGCGCCCGGGTGCCCCGTGCTCTGGGTGTCCCTGCTGGAGCCGGGGCTGCACTGGGGGGTCCCTGGAGGGCCCTGCCAGCCCCAGCCCTTCTGGGATTCTGGGATTTGCCCATTTATGTACCTGAGAGTGCCTCATCTCCCCAGCTATCCTCTTCCCACCACTATGTGTGTGTGTAACCAAGCAAGAATTGCCCTGGGTCTTACATACAGACAAGACTGAGCTGTGTAAGACTGAAAATCAAAGGCTAAGCTGCCCTCAAAGCATCCTGCAGCAGCAGAGCAGACAAAGCCAAGCCACGAGCTGGTGCCCTCCGCCTTCCTTACCTCCATACGGCGAATGTCGATGGACAGCACCGTGGTGAAGAAAAACATCTGCAGGAAGAAGTCGGACACCAGGCCAACAACGGCGAAGAGGCAGAACTCCTGCGGGCAGCACACACGGTTATTAGCTGGGGAAGTGCCGGGACAGCAGGAAATACTGCAACTTCAGAAGGAGAGCAGCTGAGCAAGGCCTTGCCCGAGCGCAGGCCCGGGGGACCGTACTTATTATCAGTGCTTTTTTGGTAACAGTTAGGCGTTTAGTGCTTAAAAATGTCCATTTGAGAATTCACAAACGTATTTACTCGTATGCCAAACTCCTCTGCAATGCTCTGCTTTGCCAGCAGGTGCCAATAGAGAAACAGGCTGGAGAGAAACCTGCAGGAAATGTGCTTAGCAATAGAAACACAGTGCCCAGGTCACCCCTCCGGAGCAAACCTGCTCTGCAAATCCCTGTCAGTGCCAGCGTCTCCTCCTCTCCCACCCTGCTTTCCACAGCAGCAAAAGAACACAAGAATTTCCGAGTATTTGGGAGTTTTTTCCCTTGGGGGACAAATTCCTGCCAGCACCTAGGAAAGAGCTGGCAAACACGGAAAGATGAAGAGAGCTGACTGGAAGTGCAAGCAAAGCCCTCGGGCTGAGCAGCACATCAAGGGCTGGGGCCCTCACCTGCAGGAGGGACCTGGCAAACGCCCTTCACTGGTGCCCCCGGCGGCCTTGCGGGCCGAGCCGGGACACATCCAGCCTCCCGGGAGGACGGGAGGAGCCACAGCGGGTCCCTTCCTTCCTCCCCCTCCTTTCCATGCCTGTCCCGGCGTCTCGAGCAAGGCCAGAGGGCGGGCGAAGCCCCGTGAAGCGAGAAGAGCCCAAGGCGACGCAAAAGGCTGCCCCAAACCTCCTGCCAAACCTTGAAGCTTCCCTGTTCGGTCCAAACTGTTCTTGAAACACCAGCTATCAGCGCCTGGTATTTAAAGATTAGTGAGGCACAAAACGAGATAATCCACGGGGCAGCTGCCCCTCTGCCTCCAAATCTCCCCCAGGAGCAGCCCAAAGCAGCAGCTTCTGCCCAGCTGCTTCTCTCCAGCTCCTTCCTCCACGTTTGGCTGGAGGTTTTTGAGGGGAAGGGATGGAGATGTTATCACAGGTTCTTCTGTCAGGGAATAAAAGCAGAAGGAAAGTGACATTCACCTGGATTTCACCCGTACCCCTGCAAACAGACTGCGAACGGCCGGCTCTGCACATACAGAGATTAATTCTGCTAATGCCTCCACTAATTCCACTTAGGATTAGAAACATCTGAGCCCTGGAGATCTCACACATGCCACAGCACGTGGCAAAGCCCTGAGCGGGAGCAGCGCGAGCAGGACCGGAGCAGAAGGTCCATCCCAACAAGCTTCAGCCGAGGAATTCCTCCTGCTGCTGCATTTCCACATATCCCCCAGCACCCGAGTGCCTGGAGCGCCGAGAGCCTGGAGCAAAGGTCCCCCCGGGGTTTACGCAAGCCCGCTCCCTATCTCAAGGATGCCTTGGCCGTTATCTGCGCCGTGTCCTTCGCTCCAGGGACAGGGACCCGGGCCGCAGCCGATGCCAGCGGAGCCGCCGCCAGCCTTCCTTTGGGAAAAGAGCAGCCAAGGAAAAGCAGGATCGCCCACAGAGCAGGGTGTCACCGCACGGATCCAAGTACTTTAAGGAACAAGAGCACTTTGTTGAGGATAACATGTGGCTGCAGGGTGGAGTGTCAGTTTTTCCCACTACACAGCTGCATTTGCAGCGTGTCCCTCGGGGCTCTGTCACTCTCCTTCCTCCCCTGCAGCGGGTGCCCTCAGCTTCCAGTCCCAACGCGGTTCCCAAGCCTTGTCCCCAGAGCAGGACAGCTCAGAGGACACAGTAACGAGCTGAGGCAGAAGCCCTGATGCTCTTTCAGTGCTGCACAGAGCCAGCAGCCCGACCTCAACAGCCCATTTCGCCTGCAGGTTTCAGTTCACCCTCCTAGGAAGCCGAGGCAGCGATATCCACGGTCCTAAACCTACAGACTCATCCACCCCGTGATATCACCCTGAGCACGTTCGGGACTGGGCTGTTTCTCTACCTACTTATACAGGGCCTTATACAGTCAACAAGGAGGCTCCCTAGGGGCTCAGGACACATATGAGTTGCAGGTGGAGAGTCTTTTGGGATTGGGGGAGTCTTTTGGGGATTACAAGAGGGATGTGGAGCTGCTGGAGAGAGTCTAGTGCAGGGCCACAAGGATGATCAGGGGCCTGGAACATCTGCCCTATGAGGAGAGGCTGAGGGAGCTGGGCCTGTTCAGCTGGAGAAGAGAAGGCTGAGAGGGACCTGAGCAGTGTCTAGAAGTACCTCAAGGGAGGCAGTGAGGAGGATGGGGTGGCCTCTTTTCAGTGGTGGCCACCGACACAACTAGAGGAAACAGCCACAAACTGAAACACCAAAAGTTCCACAGGAAATTAAGGAAAAATTTATTGACAGTGAGGGTGCCAGAGCACTGGAACAGGCTGCCCAGAGAGGTTGTGGAGTCTCCTTCTCTGGAGATCTTCAAACCCGCTTGGACACAGCCCTGTGCCACGTGCTCTAGGTGACCCTGCGTGTGCAGGGGTTGGACTGGGTGACCTCGAGAGGTCCCTGCCAACCTTGAGCGTTCTGTGATTTTATGATTCCATGATTGCACGAGATTTATGAGGGGCTATTTATTGGACAGACCAAAGACAGGACAAGGTGGGTACCTAGGTGTTTTGGAGAGGAACAAGAGCAGAAAAACAGAGGCCTAAGGGGATAAAATGGGCCACTGGGGTGAACGGGTTGCTGGTTAATCCGCTTGTCCCGCCATGCCCTGTGCCGGATCAGCACAAGAGACTGTCCTGTCCCCTCATTAAACTCCTTTTCTAAGTGTGTTGCTGGGCGAGGACACTCCATATCCTGCGTGCATGGAGGTCTGAGCGTCAGCAACTTAGACCAGAGGTGACAGGGACCTGCGTGTCTGGGGTGCCAGCAGCTGGAGACACTCAAGAGAGTGAAAATCAAGTCCTAGCAATTGCAGTGGGACCACAGGGGAGCCCAAGGAGCCCTCTCTTTTGGTCTCGACCAGATCCAGAGCTGGTTCCGGCACCACTGCCTTTTCTGAGGTGGCTCTCAAGGGAAGAGCCACCCTCCTGGCACTGCACTGAGTCTGATGCTGTTGGGGCCTCTGCAGCAACCTGAACACAACCTCATTTGGGTTAAAAACCTAGAAAAACAGAAAGGTTCATCCGA